AGGGGGAAATGGTCCACAGAGTTCAACCCGGCTATAAGGCAAGTAACGCAAGGACCGAAGCACATCGAGTGCGTGGGTGACTTGCAGGATTTAATGGCCATGGACAAATGGGCTTAGAAGCCAGGCAGAGGGGCTGAGTAGGGAGGAGAGGAGGCAAGGGCGTGCAGGCACTGCGCACTGACAACCGGTTTGGCTTTAAAGAGGAGGTGAGAGGGGCAGTAGGCGAAGAGAACGGAGAGATTAAGCCAGTTTGAAAGAGTTTAGAAGCCAGTGGGAGGACTCGGTGGGATGGAGAGATTGAATAGGGAAGGGAGAAATGGCAGTCATCCTGCAGAGTTCCTGAGAAGGTGGGAAGATTTAAGAGAGAGGAGTCCCCATACCAGAGGGGCACAGACCATGAGGATGGGGAGAGGGGAAAAGGTAGAAGATTCCAGGATGGTAACTTATTAAGTTGATAAATGTGTATTTGTTTTGTCATAAAGGAATTCAAAGTATCTTTGAACAACGAGCTGAGGTTTTACGTAATCAATACATATTCAGGAGTCACCAACAGTATATGTATGTGAAAATGTCCTGCACAAGCACTGTGCTACTTTTGGTACTCTAACAACATTTGGCTTATAGAACGATATTCTGGCATTTGGTAGGAGGGAAGGCATTACAATCCAAACCCAGCCACTGCGTAAATCCCAAATGGGTTTTCTTTGGTCACCTTTAAAGCTCCATGAACACTGGCGCTGAAATTAAATGGAAAAGTTCCATATGAATGGACTCACAAGGCTATTTGTGTCCTATGGTCGGGTCCTCAGAGGCCACGTAGCCCTTTTTCACATTGGTGTCTGGAACGGAAGGTCACCTAGCCCACACTGAAGGTGTCCAGCAAAGGACAGCCACGAACCTCCTTACCAAGGCTTTTCTTATCCTGACAGAACTCTGAAATCATCGCTACTTGCCATGATACAATGCGCAGCATGCTCTGATAGCACAAACATTGGGCATCAAGTTCTGAGGAAGAATCATGATAGCAGGCTGTCTGAAAAAAATTTGTTCATTTTTCTTTGTAATCTAAGGAGACTCCCCTACTGACAATCACATTCAGCACATAAATGTCTGAGTCAGACAGCAATGACCCTGGGGAACATTCAGATTTGTGGAGGCAGACACAAGTGCCAAAACCGAGCCGTCTCGAAGTTTTCTGTAGGGCGTAAGAACAAAGATATCCCTCGTGTCTCAAGAACATGAGTGAAAGTCATGACCTATTTCTCCCTCATCCTTTTAAAAATGGGACTGAAGAGAGAGCCAGATGTGTTCCAGGATGGCCAGCTGACTAACTCTTACTGTTAACATGCACCAGCAATTCCAAGACACGGGGGTAACTGATAAAACGACTTGCTTGGTTTTCCAGAAATATGTTCAGTTCTGTTACACCTACTTGCTCAATCTCCATCCTCTTGTTTGTGTGGCGTCAAGGGATTGGCAATAAACACTACCAGGCACGTATCCCAGTACTTTTCTAATCTACTCTGGACTTCTACACAATGATTATCAGAAACTGAATCAGCAGTTGGAGGGTCTGGAAATAGCTTCTAATGTAACCATTTCCCGCATGTAATCATGACCCACATGCTATCGTGTAAAGTCCCTGCTCTTCTTTGAGCAGAATAAATTGTCAGGGAGGTAGCTCACTCATTGGTCTTCCCATGATAAGAAAATGGAATAATTGTTCTTGGACTCTCCAATATTCCATGTCCTTAACTTGGATTTGGCCTAGAGATTGAAGTTTCAGATTCAGGAATTAACCTGGATTAAAATCCTAGTCCTACTGCTTAGTGGCTGTGTTAATTTGGGAAAATTACTTAACCTCTCTGTGTTTCAGTTTCCTCGTGCAAAATGATGAGAAAATAAGAAAAATGCATGCAAAGTTTAGCACATGTTTAGTATGATAAATGCCAGCAATTACAACCATCTGGGACCTTTACATTATTCTAGCATTCATTTTCCTCTGACTTTACCTGCATCTAATTGGATAAAAAGATATATTTTATTGTCTACCAGATATTAAACACAGATATTTCTATGTGTTGATGGTAGAGTTGGTGGGAAGATGTGTGAGAATTGGTGGAGTGATGAGACTTTTACTTAAGGTGACCATGTAAACCAGCGGATTGGCAGTCAATTTCTGGAGTCCCATAGTTTAGTCCACACATTGTTAAGAAGTACTTATATTTCAGGAAGTTCTAATTGCCTCATGCATTGTTCCTCATTTATGGAAATGCTGCAAATATTTGTTTTAAATACTGGGACAATGAATACTTGACAACAATTACTGTATCATTTGTCAGTACGGTAAAAAACAAAGGAACCCAAATCCAGTTTCTTCAGCCTTTTGTCTTAGACTCCAATTCTACTACTTTAGACCCTCCTCCCTGAGGATGACAGGACATCTGGACCTGCGGGGCCACTGATGAAACCCAGAGCAGTAACAGGACTCGGGCACAGTACGTCCGGCACTAGACAGGAAGGAAAGGGGACCCTTTGTTTTCTATGTGGTGACTTCTCTCAAGGAGGAAACAAGCACCAACCTACATTTACCAGAGTGCAAATGTACTGGGTATGGAATAGTGATGTATGTGACATGCTTAACACATAGTTACAATCTTGAAACGTCCTATTTTAATATTCAAGGCTTTGGCTTTGTCATTTCTAAATATTCATTCATTCGTTCGTTCATTCATTCACGTACTCAACAAGTATTTACTGCATGCTAAAAATACACAAGGAAGTGTGCTAGATTTTTCCATCTGTGCCTTCTGGCCCTAACTGGATTATGAATCCTTTTGGAGCAAAGATATTATACCTTATTCATTATTCAACACTTGGCCTGTAGGAGACATTCAACCAACTCAATAAACGTGCATCACATACATGAAAAATGAGATGCAGCCACGGTGCCAGCCATGCATAACCAAATCACAAAATACTTAGTCCTATGTCTTGATCATCTGTAAACCTACAATTTAAGCAGGCCATGAATGCAAATATTATCTCCATGCATAAAATATGTGCCATCAGTATTTTGTTAGACCTTTCACTTAGATTATATAATTTATATGCTGATATAAAAATAAGAAGATAAGATCAACAACCATGTAAACTTTTCGGGGATTCAAGAGCTTTCGGTGAAAATACTAGTTTAAAATAGGATTTCTCTCCAACTCAAACCCCCTTTCATATAGGAAAAGGAAATGAGCAAAGGAATCCAAGTACACTGAAGTTTTCAGGGCCAAACATTTTGATTCAATATGTTCTGCTATAAAATATTTGGCCTTGTTTGAATTTTTATTGCTATATGTTCTCAGTCTATATTTAACTGTGAGAAACACAAATAAGAAAGAGTGAATGTGCAAAATATTCTTTTCAAGTGCATGGCAGTGAATTTGAGAAAACATATATTAAAGGAACACTTTGTATTTTTAACATTCAGTGCCTTTCCTGAGGCCTCCCTTGGCCAGATACAATGAACCATTTATTGAACTAAGGAGTCAGCTTACTTGGAATGAAAATTCTGAAGGGCCTCTCAGAGCCACCGAAGATAAGCACCTTACTTCGCCACGCTCTCGAAATTTTTTTAAAGCTCTTTTCACAAGGTGAAATTAGAAACATTTATAATGGAAACGTTCAAGTCCCCAATTCCCTATTTGCTCAAATTAACTTTGTAAAAATTGGGGTGTTCACTCTGGATCAGCTCAGTCCTGACTCTAGTCAGCCAACAATCTGTGCCCCACAAAGGCCGCATCCATATCGACCAGCCTCTGCCATCCGTGGGGTAATACATTTTAATTGGTGCTTCTCTGCGATCCCCTCACATCTCCATCTGGCCAGATAAACACTTTTTTTTTTTTTTTTCCAATTCAGCCTCAACATCTTGGCAGTTAGCAAGAGGACAGACTTGCTACAACGGGCGGTCTCTAAGCCGCACAAAATTCTGAAATCGAAGGCACAGTGAGGTGGTATAATCAACGGCTGTCTACAACGTGGCTTTGTGCTCGGCCGCATTTTGTGCTCTCTGGGTCTGCACTGCAGTTTCTGAGCAGTGTTGCTGTTGAGAACTCTGTGTCCTCTCCTAGGGCAAATCACTGATGACATAGTCCAAGGACAGCATAACTGCTGAACATGGACTTCCTACCAACCAATTTCCAGTGGTCAGATTGGGGCCAGTGCAACCAGGGGACAGAGGGGTGAAATGGTCCCATCCTGCCACTGTTAACTCATTACCTGTGTGACTTTGGGTAGTTACCATATCGCTATGCCTTAGTTTCCCCATCAGTAAAAGCAGAGGTAATATTAGTACTAACCGCACAAGATTACTGTGAAGGTTAAATGAGGCATTTGACATGTGTAGCACAGAGCTTGGCTTATATTCACTAACAATTATTATTTTTAGGGAAGGAAAGTAGACTAAATTCCTTGGCAGCAGAAAGGAAGGGAATGGATGACTAACCAGCTATGAAGTTATTCCTCAAATCATTCCTTACTCTAAGTGTTTCACTTATTTTACACAGTTCAATCATAAAGCAAAGTGTAAGGGGTGACTAGGAGACGCCACGGCCTGTGTGCTCATTCATTCATTAAGTGCGCTCGCGTTTCTTTGAGGCTCTGGACAGAATGCTCCTTTTTCTCTAACCCTCAGCGTCATTTGGGTGGAAATGAAGAATGGTTCCAGGGCAAAGTGGCCAGCCCTGCTTTCTTGGCAGCTATAGATGTGAGGCATTGTTTCTCTTGCTCATTTCTGGTTTATGTGTCTTTCCCTTCCAATATCTCACTTTCGTGAGATAGCTTTCTCAGCACGAAGCAGAGGCGATCAGGCGCACCTCTCTGCGTTATTACAGCTCAGAATGTTTATGCAAGAAGAGGGCCAACTAGCTAGCACAGGGGCTCAGAGATCCCTGCCAGTCCCAGGGGCACCCGTGATTCGTAGTAGTAACGGGGGTGTCTCTCACCGGTTGCTTTTTCAGGGTTGTTGCACATGAAGCATTGCCACGCTCCCGCAGCTTCGCTGAAGCCAAACACGTCAAAGAACCTCACTTCTTCCAGATGGAGCTGTACCTGGTCCAGATCCTGTTTCGGGAACACAAAGCACAGGGAACATAAGCTGATCTAAGAGTGTCTTAAATGCAGACGGCAGTGAGCACGGGCCCCAGGGCTGGGTGCCAGGGGAGGTGGTGAGGGGTCAGAGCCTGAAGTAACCAGAATTTTATCACATCTAGATGCAGCACCAGAATTTCTAAAAAGAAGGGATATCCAAGTGGCAGCATGGTTGAGAGGAATGCTGTTGGGGGATATGTCTTTTAGGTACCCTTGATGTGAACTTGAGAATCAATGATCTATATCAAAAAGATATTTTTATCAGGTTGGTTTTGCAGAGAGCTGGTGGGAAATATGGAGAAGAGCTTAATCCTTCAACCCTTGGCTCCATTATTGTTTTAGCTCCATGCTTTATTTTAAAAGTGTATGCAAATTTTTACATTCCATTCCCTAATATGGCTCTATTGGTTTTAATGGAAAATAATGTCTTAAATCAGTTATCAGTAAATTAGTTAACTTCCCCCCCTCCAAATGGTTGAGTAGAATTGACACACCAAGAAGATTGCCCATGTTTTATGTGCCCTGTGGCACTGTGCCAATGTGTTCTTATTTAAGAGGCAGAGGAGAGAGGTTCCATTACACTGTAAATGGATGGAAAACTATTAGCCTAACCAAATTAAATAGCACTACTGTCCTCCAGAGGCTTTCCTATTATGTAAATGATTGCCTCCCCTGCTACAGGGTGGCCAGAATTGCATTCTTAAAAGGTTGCTTTCCTAAGAGGGATTTAATGTCCTTGCTAGCCTTGCATGTGCCTGGGCAACTTATGTGTTTGTCCTCTGTTGAGCTGTGATTTTATTTCCTTTCCTCTGGTCCACACACTCTTATCTTGTAACTAGAGTAACAGCTCCTAGTATGTCTAAGAGCTGAGGGATGGACTGCTTATGGTGGATATAAAATAGAGCATGGTTAAGAGGCTACCCACATTCTACCCCAAAGTTCTGGTTTCCCAGGCCCACATTTGTTGACAGAAGTGAGAACTATGCTGGACTCTGAGCTCCTTGAGGGCAGAAATATATCTACCTTGTTCACAGTTGTATCCCCAGAGTCTAGTCCAACATCAGGAATGGATTAATATCATTGCTTTGCAGGCCAGTGCAAAGTTTGTGGGTGGACTGTACAAATGGTATTATGAGAATTTTAAAGGGACTTCTTTTTAGAGAACATGTACACTCACTGGAACATAAACCCATCGAGGGCAGGGGTTTTGTCTGTTGTGTTGGCTGTTGTAACCTCAGCACCTAAAAGTGCCTGTCACATAAGCAAACATTAAATAAATACATGTGGAATAATGAAAGGCATAAACTGGGACTAGAAGTGAATGCTCTTCAAATATTCTTTATTAAGGCTATTACAGCTCGTGTGCTTGGATTGGATGTTCTGGAGGCTCCACATGCTGAACACAGCATTTCGAGTTGCTAACATTTAATACCATATTTTAGGCATTCCATCAGGCACAGAATATACAGAATGTCATTTCAACAAAAGTGATTTCAAATGTGTTTAATGAAAAAAAGGAGGCTTAAATTTTTTTATTTTTTAAACCATGTTCCCAAGATAAAGGCTGAAGAAGCACCTGGGAGTTTTATAGGTTTCAAAGGATGAAGTCCATATTAAAATTTATGGGGGAAAAGCAGATGTTCATAAATAACAGTTTCAAACTGCTAAGTCTCTGAAGTCTGTACTTGGCCGTTGGCGTGCAAATCACTTCCCTGTTTTGCACACAATTAAAGTTCAATTTTTCATTCTCCACAAACAGTGCTAGCAAACAAAGTACTAAACTAATACTTAAGGGTTCCTTTATTTTTCCTGTTCTGAGACCAGAAATGTCCCAGGTTTGTCTTGATAAAGAGTTACTTAAAAAGTTTGAGGCAGATGGCGAGCTCCATCGCAGTGCTCACATTCTGAGGTCCAAAGCAGGTGGTTACAAATCCTCCTCCAGAGAACTTAGGTGTTGGGCAGAGGGACCCGAGGGGAGAAGATAGACAGTAGTTCTGGAAACTGGTGAAGTCGGCAAAAAGAGCCAACTTGAATAGAGAGACAGAGGAAACACAGGGAGTTCGAAATATTGGTGGGAAATCAAAGCAAAATAAATCACAAAACAAGCAAACACAAACCAACTAGTGATGCCTAAATGTTTTAAAATTCGACCTCTTAAAAGCTTGAGGTCATTATTTCTCTGACATAATCTTCTTTACTCTCTTGGGTCCTGTAGCTTCCCCAGGCCTTGCCCACAGATTTCTATATGGCTTCCTTTCTCTGTGTGTGTGTTGAGACTTGTTTAGAGAATTATAAACTTCCTTTAAGACAGCTAGACTCTGGAAGAGTAATAAAAGTCATTCATATCTAAGTAGAGTCACTCCCTGAGAATTTCATTTCCATGGGATTGTAGTGGACAGACCCTAGATAACCCCTCAATAATTTCCATCTCCTGGTGTTCATCCCTTTGGATAATCCCCTCCCCTTAAGTGTGGGAGGGATATCAGTGACTTGCTTCTAACCAAAAATATGGCAAAAGTGATAGGATATCAATCCCATGATTATCATAATACACACACACACACACCGACCTGTCCTGCTAGATGCAAAGGGGACTCTCCTCCTGGACTTGAAGAAGTAAGCTGCCATGTTGTGAACTGCCCCTGGACAGGGCCATATGGCAGGGAACTGTGGGTGGCCTCTAGGACATAAAGGTAGCCTTCAGCCAACAGCCAGTAAGAGATTCTGGCCTTCGGTCCTACAAAGCCAGCTAATTGTTTCTGCCAAGAACCTGAATGAATCTGGAAGCAGACCCTCCCCATTTAAGCCTCCAAATGAGAACACAGCCCGGACAATATCTTGTAGCCTTCTGAGATCACGAGCAGAGGACCCAACTAAGCCACGAGCAGACTCCTGACCCAAGGAAACTGTGAGATAACAAATATGTGCGGTTTTAGGTTGCTAGGTTTGTGGTAATTTGTTATGCAGGACTGAAAAGCAATACTGAGATTGTGCCCTGAAGAGGAAGGGAAGGTCACCCTGTCAGCCAATTCTCAATGAAAATAATGATTCTGCTTAGATGGGACACATTCTTCCAAGTGCACTCCAAACCAGGCCTCAATAAAACCCAAAGAATATTGAAGTCCAAATTATTTCTGCTGACTTATAGAAAAAAATATATAATCGTAGTAAGCATGCCATTAAGAAGGATTTTTCTAATAAACACCATCTAATTTAAGAGGGATAAAAGTCCCTGGAGGGAAAATAATGGTTTTAAGCAGCTGATTAAATGAGAGTTCCTCTAGTTTTAGAAAAAAATCATTAATGAGATCAGGAATTCAGGAAACTATATAAAAAGTCCCGTGTGAAGCCTCTTAGGGGAAAAATAAGCCAGGCAGCATGGAAAGATGAGAGGATATTTACAACATTATTTTGATGACAGTGACAGCATGAGTCAGCGCTCTGGATTCCATAAAAGTGCAAAGTGGCCTCTGGATGTTATAATGTGGTCTATGTACTGTGAGAGGGTACTGAGAAGCAATTTTCCAGAAATCAGTGAAAGCATACATCTGGAAGAAGTTTGGATTCTGGCACATTTAAATTATGTTCTAAAGTTATTTTTGCACAGATACGAACATAGGATTGCCTTATGTGCTCTGTGTGCCTATGGCTAATAGGATCAACTCTAGGCACATACTTCAAGTATGTTTTAAGAAACGCAAACAAGAGTTTTGTTTTGTTTTGTTTTAAATAATCCCCAATATTTTCATATACTAGTAAGGCTTTATGTTCTTATGGCCATTTCTAGTGTACATATTCTAATTACATGGAGTCCAGAGTATGAAATAAATCTATCGAGGGAAGAAAATTAATGATTCATCTTTATATTGTTCATCTTTATATTATTTATATTGTCTTACATTGTATAGGCGTGGTGACTTATAAGAAACACTGTATGTTGAATGAATGTACTAACAAAAGGACTCTAAAAATACTTATGTTACAATTTAATTTTTAAATTTATTTTAATTTCTGAAAAATATTTTCATTGAATTCAATTCATAACAGTTTTTACAGCAATTGGTGTCAGGAACCAAGAATAAATAGATGAAGGGGACAGTCTTTATTCAAAGCAAGTGAGAAAGTGATTCATTGGGTTCACAGTGCTCCTCACAGAGGAAAATTGGAATACACCATTACTTGTGCTTGGTTGTGATTGTTATTGAGCTTCTTCTAGTGTAGATCTTTTGGCCCTCACCTGGATTAAAGCTGCTTAGCAAGAAGACTGATTTATTTTGTAGCTTTTAAAAATACTTAGTGTAGCACTTTGCCGATAGTAGCTGTTCAATACATTTTTATAAATTTTTACTAATTTAGACACATAGACTCTACCTCTAAAATTTATATCAACAGTAGCATTTAGGTTTTCAATTTTCATGTCTATTCAACTATGACTATAAAGCTCTTTTAGAAAATATTTATTTTTAAAAATATGTACCTGCATCTCTATGTATATTATAGGACTTCATTTTATTTAATTTTATAAAAGAAGATTTAGAGTAAAATGTTCGTAATTGAAGAAGAATGTTTGTCTGACTTCATCAATACAGCATGCTGACTTCATATTCCCCAAACTCAGCTTTTCCAGATTACTAGTGCTCAAGAGGTGTTGGCATAGGAGTCTGGAGAAATTTTTCATAAACACCAGATACAAGCTCCACTCCTGGAAGCCTACCCCTATATTCCTGTGCCCAGGCCTGGGAACCTGCATTTCTAAACAAGCTCCCCCAGGTTTCCTGATATGCACTGACTGGGAAATTAATACTACACCCTTGGGAACCGATGTGGGGCTGGCTGATCTGTCTCAATTAATATTTGGGGGATTTGTCAGTCTTCATGAGCTTATGTTCATACTTTGCTACAGCAGGTTTCATATGACAAAATACTTCTTGCAAGAGCAAAAATTCCATTCTTAAAAATCAGAGATGTTATTA